GATGGGGCTGCTATGTAATTAACTGGCAATTTCTCAGTTGCAAACCCCTGATTTGTAACCATGGCAGGTACACAAACTACTGGCTGCATTATACTTCCACTGTCTCCACCTGCCCCCATTTTTTCTGACAACACAGCACAGAAAACTATCTGAGCTGAAATCCCACTCTTATCAGCTTTCTTCTCCTTGGAGATTTCATAGTCCACCCCCCCTTGCCTCTTTCTCCAATCACAACTTAAGTCTCTTCATCATTCTTGTTCTTTTGCCTTTTTCCCCAGGTACATCACAAAAATGTCATTCCCACCAGCACAAAAATACAATTTATGGACAACAAAATTAATATCAACAAATCTCACCCTATAATGTGGGCTTTGATGAAGGAATAGATGAAGGCCCTAATAGGTTTTGAAATGGCTTTAGAACAGATACACTGGAAATCAGTGTCATCTCTTCTCATATTTTCTTGAGGAAAGAGTGACATTTTGGTGTGTGTGGTGGGGGAGGTACAATTTGGAAATGGTTATCAAATTTAAAATAAATGTAACTTTTATTTTAAGTTCAGGGGGACCTAAATTTGATGGAGCAAGTTACCATTTAGGAATTTCTCCTATGGATTTACCCTATGGATTCAATTAATCATGGCATTGTTTGACATGGTACACATAAATGGAAACAAGAGAGACTGATCTAAACATTATGGTATATCCATGAGATGAAATACTATGTATCTGTTAAAAAGAATAAGGTGGAGCTGATCTAGGGAGGAGAGAAGAGAAGCAGAGAAGAAAACATTTATTCATTTATCGGGCGAAACAATTCTATAAATCTCATCAGAGACAATAAATGGCAAACAACATATGTGGAAAGAGTGTTGGATGAAGTTCAGATACTTATTTCTGGAGCTGATCTAGAGCTGATCTAGACAGATGTCTACACTCTCTTGTAAAGTGAAAAAAGTGACAGAACATGGGCTAGGGAGTTATCCTTTTTTTCTTTTCCTTCCTTCGTTTTCCCCCCACACTAAGGAGGACCTTTGGCTTGGCTTCCCTTCCCTTTTCTCTTTCTAATCTGCACTCCTCCATATGCCACCTTAACAGGCATATTTTAAAAACCTATTGCAAATGAGTCTTTCCCCAAGCAAGACAAGCAAGAAAAAGGCAGAAGTGCAGGAGAAAGTGGAAGAGCCCACGTGAACAGTTCTGAAGGGAAGAGAGTTAAGAATAAGTTGGAAAGCAGAAGAAAAGGAATGGGGTGGGGGGAGCGGGAGCTTTAAGAAAACATTCTGTGTATTATGATGGAGCCACTGTTCATGTTTTCTGAGAGACCCTGGCGAAGGTTAGGATTACTGTTGATTTTCAATCCTCTGACACCACGCTAAGACTGAGGTCTATGTGGCTCTGGAATATATTCACACTGGCCACTCTCACACAGAACATTTCCAGAAAGAAACTTTTAGCCATGCCTGTCTTTAAGGAGTGGGCCAACAGTTTGAAGATGAGGCTGATTTTTACCTTTCTGTCCTCTTAAATGGTCCTTCCCTACAGGCATATGCTAATCTCGCAAAAGAAATGAACACAACGTGTGTGACCGTCCTGAGAGTCCTCTTCAAAGCCGGAAAAACCCTCTGTATCTCCTTATCACTCTCCAGCTCCCAAAGAAACGTCAAATTGAATTCATATTTGACAACATTTTAAAACAATGCGTTCAATTTTGTATTTTTCTCTCCTTTTTTGGGGGCTGGGCGGGGGCGGATTTATAGCCCATACACTGGTGCTACCAAAGGCCGAGTAGACTTTCCTGGCTTAGTCTGGGGAACTCACCATAGTCTGTCACCATCTTTAACAGGAAAATGCATACCAAGTTCTGAACTGGCTAATTAACATTAGACTAAGTTAAACTTTTCAATAAAATTTATCAAGTATTTTAAAATTATTTTCATTCTACTTAACGTTTGCAATGCTAAGGGACAGACGAGTTTGCATATACAGTCACATATATATGCCGATACTATCAGAAGACATGCTATGGGCTAATACTAAATATCATACATTTTGTTGTATGTGATTTCTATCTTGTTTTATGAAACATGAAGGACCTAATGTTGAGCCGCATCATAAAAACTGAGTAAAATCTATTGAGTAAAAATAAATGACAGAGTAGCAAGAAGGGAGCTGAAGGCCATAATTTGGATAAAAATGGAATAGCAGCACTTTCTCCTCTAAGGTCAGCAATTAAAATTTAGCGAAGGTCAGGAGTGACAAAATCATCAAGAAAGACTTGACCTCCATCTAGTTGTTGCAAACAATATATTAACATTGTAAAACTGTTACAGCAGATGGCAATGCAATCATCCCTTGGTAACTCATGCCTCGCTAACCGTCTGTGACCTTGGCTAAAGGTCAGCAAAAGGCCCACCTCCAGCATCTGCAGGGAGCGGATGCGGAGGCCGAGAGCACCCAGTGTGAATTCCCTCGTGCACATGTGAGAGGTGAAAACCACAGCCAACTTCTTCATTCCTGCCTTTGTTCTAAAATTGCTAATGGCGTTGCAGGGTACCTGACCTATTTGCATACATTCCTTATTTTTACCTCTGCCTGAGCTAAAGGGGAAAAAGGCAAAGTATGACAACATCTACCCTGCCCATTTCTCTTAACTTTGTTGGTTCGGGTTTATTTATAGCCTTTTCCTCAACTACAGCTTTAAAAGCAAATGATTCGTACCTCACTCATGTGAAGTGGATCAATGCAGATTGGATTTCTTGAAATACCACCAAAAAGCAGCTCCTCAACACCCTCCAGGGAAGAAAAGCCAAGGGAGGCGTGGAAATTTGTCACCCAGTGTAAGAACAGAGCACACATTGACAGAGAGACTGTGACCTGCCAAACACCACGTAAATATAACCAAACGTTTTCCAAACAGAATGGACTGTATTCTGGTGGCGAAGCCTTGGCCTCGCTTACAAGAAAGGCCTCTTTGTTTAACTTTAAAGTCAGTCAAACTGCCAGTTACTTAAGGGGTAAGTTAGTGCCTCAAAGAGGCCCTGGTAGATGGGGGAAGAGAAGGTTGCAAAATACATGCAGAACAGACACCTTGTAGGTGTGTGGTCTTCTTTATGGATGTGGTGGACCCATTTAAAGTTTCTGTGCTTCAGAGTGGCCTGGGCAGGGCAGTCTGGGTGTCAAAAGGAAAGCGAAGATAAGGCAGAAGAGTCAGCGCAGCGCTAGCAGAGAACCAGTGGCTGCTGATGGGGGCCTGGAGAAGAAAGGGTGTTTTTCAGTCGCGTCTTTTGGATGGAGTCGATCCGCTCACCCAGAGGCTGTGGTTTGGCTTTCTCATAGCAAGCTGTGGAGTTCAGAGAGGTAACGCCAATCATCGGACCTGCCTCTTTTTGTAACACTAAGGCTCAGAGATGAAGCCTTATCTCTTTGAATGCAATCCGTATTTTCTGAGAACCCACAAGATTGATCACACTCAGCAGGCATTTCACTGCTCATGGGAAAGTCTACAGTCTCAGCCCTCAAGCCAATCCCTTATACGTTTGATTAAAGCTGACTCACAGTCTGGATTCCAGAGCCCTTCACCCACAGGCAGTGGAGGAAACCACCTACAGAAGTCCAGGAAACATGCTCAGGGTCAGGCTGGTGCCACTGGCTGGCCAGGGACCTCTGCCATCCACCTGGCTGGTGGAGCCTCTGCCGTCTTTGGGCTCTGCACCAAGCTCCTGGCTCATGCCTGGCTTCCTGACCAAGCACCTCATTTCTGGTTTCCTACCATGAGTCCGAACAAATATCCTAGACCTGGACTCACTTCTGTTCTTATGTTGACTCTGGGAACTTCCTCTCCCAGATGTCTCCTGAGAGTCTTCCTCTAGCGGGAACAGGAAGTACCCCGGAACAGGAAGTACCCCGGGACAGGAAGTACCCCAGGCTCTGACTTTCCCACCTGCCCCTCTTCACTTCCAGCCTCTCCCTGCCCGTTGTCCTACGTTGCATGGGTCTGGTCCTGGATTCTCCCTCTGCTTCACCCCTTTGGACTGACACAGTATTTGCACAGTCTGCAAAGCTGGGAAATTAAAGATTTGCCCAGGATGGACCCCCTGTTCTCCAGAGACCGTCTCCCTCTGCCATCGCTCCCGGTCACAGGTGCTTTCAAGGTACCTTCCCATCAGCAACCTTGCTCTGTGCTAGAGACTGAGCCATTCCAACCTCAGATTATGGTCCGCTGTCTCTGTGCCCTTCCCCTTGGGCTGCTCTCAGTCTCACCTTCTAGAATTATGTTCTGAGCCCACTGCAAATCAGGGTGCAACATCCACCAGCACCTAACTCTCAGCAGTTCAACACTACCCTCCTCAAAGCTTCTCTGAGATAAAAACATCTCAGGGCAAAACGCCTTCTGGTCTCAAGGAGCTGAGATCAGTCAAGAAGCAAAATCACCAATCGCTCCTTCACCTGACTCAAGGATAAGCTGAGGCAGGGCCATCTCCCTGCTGTCCTCCCTGGCTCACAAGGTAATTATGAAGACAAATGATTCAACTGAAAGCATAAATCCTGAGAAAGAGAAGGGACCAGGATTTACTGCCAGCCAGACCAAGGGCCCCGTATGGCCATCCTCACCTGGACCAACAGAGGCCAATGACACAGCCTCTCAAGCTAGGTCTGAGCCCGCGTTCCTCTCCAGCTCCCCCAGCACCCTGAGCCTGCCTTTGTCATTGCAAGCGCCACATCATATTGTAATCATCTGCTCCAGATCGAGACAGCATCTAATTAGTTTCTGTACACCCACGGTGCCTGACACGCAGAAGGAACTTTACAAATGATGAATGAATGCATAAGTGAATGAACAAGGGGGAATGAATAAAATAAGACTTGGTTTTACACAATGGTTGAGAAGCAGCTGGAAATCCTCCATGCAAAGCAGTAATCGGAATGACTTCACAACATCGATCTTTGCCCAACATGAAGACATCCCAGCCCTTGTGTTACCCTCTCCCTGGGACTCGCCTGTATGGCTCCATGGTCCGAGTACCATAGAACAAGGCTTCCTCCAACAGGCCGAGGTTGATGCAGGCATCCATGGCGCAGTCGAGCACCTTCAGCTGGTAGATGTTGATATCGGGAAGCCGCTCAGAATTGCTGCTGATGATCGCCTGGCACATGGCCAGAACCTGCTCCCACTCTGTTATTAACCTTAGTTAAGGATTCATTGTCTTCATCGAGAAAAAAACCAAAGTGAAATTAGATTCTCTAAAAGGCTGAAGAGCTCCCAAGCGCAGGAGGGAGGGAAGCACCCGTTACTTTTCACAGAGGAGCCGCCTGAAAACACACTTGAGAAACAAAAACACACAAGTGGCATCTCAGTGAAGTAAATTCTGTTTACATCAACAGACTAGTGTGTAACCAGGCCTGCGCTTTGGAGTTTTAAAACTATCAGGCCAGGCGCGGTGGCTCACACCTGCAATCCCAGCATTTTGGGAGGTTGAGGCAGGAGGATCACGAGGTCAGGAGATCGAGACCATCCTGGCTAACACGGTGAAACCCTGTCTGTACTAAAAATACAAAAAATTAGCCGGGCGTGGTGGCGGCGCCTGTAGTCCCAGCTACTCCAGAGGCTGAGGCAGGAGAATGGCGTGAACCCAGGAGGCGAAGCTTGCAGTGAGCCGAGATCACGCCACTGCACTCCAGCCTGGGCGACAGAGCAAGACTCTGTCTCAAAAACAAACAAACAAAAAAACCCGAAAACAAACAAAACCTTCTAAAGACCTGTTCTTTCTTCACACTCCTAGATGTGTTCTCTTTAAATCTAGTCATAAATAAATGCAGTCCTTTATTAAATTGGACTAAAGATTAAGTTAATTCGGTTTTAGATTATTTACTCTGTTAGCTTCTGTTTAAAAACTGATTTGAAATTAAAGATGCTTTAGAGAGATTCCTTTTTCAAAAGGAAGAGCTCATGTTGGCTTCTGTGTTATCTGAGTTCTGGGCATACATGAACCCAAATACACACACCACCCACAGGCACACACGAGGTGGAGCAATGTGAAGAAATAGATTTCCACGGGATCTCATCTTTTTCGATTATAAAGCAAAAGTGACCCAAGCCTATACTTAACCAAATAATTAAAATCTGTGTTATTTTAAACCCCCAAAATAAGAGACAATATTAGGAACGTGGCTTATCACATAAATTGCTGGCAAGGGAAACGATGCTTTAAAAAGGATGGGGAGAAGACTCAATATCCACTTCTCAGTAACACTGACTTTCTGATTAACTATGAGTCAATAACAATCTCATGTAGCCTTGGAGTGACTTCACTTTTTAGAACTGATATTCCCTGTCTTAGAGGGGCAGTCAGAGGACTGAGGACATGGTTTATGGAGCATGCTTTGAATCCCTCCCCAGTGAATTCTCTGGAAAACAGAGCGAAGGCGAGAGTGCAGGACCCTGGGACCTCATGGTTTCTTCACTGTGCACTGTTAGGCGAGTCGGAGACCAAGGAGGGTCCTGAGCTGGGACTTGCCCTTCTCTCACTCCTGTCTCACCTTCACCCAGTGGAGCTCCAAATTCATCTGCTTCACATGTTGTCATTCCAGTGGGAGAAAAGGTTTTGAAGATCGGAAATGGCAGCCTAGCCTTCGACTGTAGTAAAGCTAGATTCAGATCTAATCTAGTCCCGTCATTTATCAGACTTGAGGTTCTGAGGAAGTCAAAGTACTTAACGATACACCAGAAATAAAAATGACTAATGTCAATGTAAGAATGAGTAATATACTGTATGTAAAATGACACAATTCGTCATGTGTCCTCTCATGAGCCAGGTGGAGTGCTGGGTGTCAGAGACACAGTGGGGAACATTTCGTGGCATGCACAAGGCACACACTACACAAGCATTAGTGCCTTCCACCTTCCCTCTGTGACGTGACCTCTGAGCCTGACTGGGCTTAAAGAAAGTGGTTCAGTGGACTGACTTTGACTGAACTTCCCTTCATGCCCCCACACCCCTCCCACTCCCACATGACCTGGTCTCTTTACAATCCATGCTTTCTGTGCCATCCCCGGCCCCTAATTCAAAACCCTCTTCATGGAGGTCCTAACAGAGCATGCCCAGCCCTGAACAGCCAACCCACTGTGTATGCTCCCCTCTCTGTCCAGCAAAACCTTCCTCTTTGAGTGTCCATGCCCTTCTCAGAACACGGTTTTCCAAAACATTAGCAAATACTTCTAATAAAGCAATCAAGCCATTCCTGAGAGCGGGGACGAATACCTTTATGAACTTTCACAGGAAATATATTTTCTTTCCAGCAAAGGCTTCCCAGAGGCCCAATATCTTACTCCAAAAGATGAGTTCCTTGATGAGAATTTAAAGCACCACAATGCACAGCTGAGAGCCTTTTCTGTCACACCCATGCAAAAAAATGAGTCCTGTCTTGGAGGAATTGACCCTGATCCTAAAAAAGGTTCACTTCCTGAAGAAAAGTGAGTCCATGATTTGCTCTGGCATTCATCTGACATGTATGTTCAAAGTTTGCTGAATGTATCCCCTAGAGGTTGGGGGAAGCAGTATCTTAGGCAATGCACTGATTTTGTAACAGATTGCTGGGCTAACCTCTGTGGCTTTTCATTCCAGGATTAGAGATTTGACGAACTGTCAGGAGGAATGACTGTCTCTTACACAATGCTAGACATTTCTGTGGCAAGACTTGTACCTTATTTTAACATTGTGCTGTTTGACCTCCACGATTATTTGCCTGTTCATTTATGTATGTTCCCACTTATTCTAAAGAGGTTTGAGGTGACAGGCCTTAGAAGTAAAAGCCAGATGTGATGTTCTGCAGCCACTCATAGGAATGCATCTACTTTATCCCCCAGCAAGCTGGAAGGGACTACGTGCCAATTTTCCTTCGCAACACTGGCAACTGTCTCTTGGCAAACAAGGCAAAACCTTTCCTGCAAAGCACCCCAGTGAGCAAAAAAATGGAATAATTTTAACTAAGAGGCTTTTCCCCCAAGTTACTACTGACATGTATTTGCTCAAAGATTTAGTCCCTGGCATCTGTGTGGTGTTTATTACAAGTGACTCTGTTCCAGTAAGGAGCTGAGCTCTAGACCTAGCAGGGCTGGATAGCCTACCCAAAGAGAATAGATTCTTAATGGACAGAACAGATACCCTTTTTTCCTGAATACTTTTAAATGACCATAAGAGGATCAGGGGAAAAGAGAAAGAGAAGCACAGTAAATTCACTTGGGAATTACTCAACTCATTGAGACTCAGACTGTCAGTCCACAGAGTCTGTATCCACTTGATCATATTACTCTACTGCTTAAAAAATCATTGCACGGCCCCCTCTCACCTATGAAGTCTAATCTGTGCATGGCAGTTAAGGCCGTGCCACCTTCCCCTCCTCTCATACTGCACAGTCGGCAGCTTCTCAGCAGCAGTGCATGTTCTGTGCATCTGAACACGTCATCCCTTGTGTTGGACGCCTCTTCTCTTGGTTGGCCTGGTGAACTCCCACTAATCCTCCCAGACGCAGCTCACTGGTCACCTCCTCTGTGAAATCTTTTAACTTCCCAGAGTTGACTATTGTGTCTTTGACGCCGCTGTAAGTCTAGATCTTTACCAAAATATGTATTAATGGACATTTTACTACCCCGCTATGCAGGAGAGTAGTGAATGCAGGGCTGTGTTTTCTAACTTCTGTCTGAACCATCAGGTGAATGATGACCGGCAAGGTACTCAGCATACAGTCCGTTTTCAGTAAAACCTTGAACGGTTGAAACTGAACTCTGGCTGGGTTATCCGTGGGCCCCAATACCATGGCCAGGGCCCAGACAGAACGAGTCTACTCCTCTGCACATAAAAAGCTCTTTGAGCCCATGAACAGAGGCCTCCTGTTCCAGAGTGGACTGTCTTCCCAGTATCTTCTATCTCGTCATAGACAGGGCTTCAAATCTCTCCTTAATTTCAGTTCCACCCCTCAAAACCAGTTGTTTTAATACTTCCTACCTCAAACTGAATAGAAAATTCTAGAAATAATCGGACCAATACTATCATCTTCTAATCAATATTAATGCAGCCCAAGATCATAGTAGTAAGATGATATTATACTCTTAAATGTTGTTAAATTTTGCTGTTTACTAAAGCCCTAATTTATTTTCACATGTTCTTATGCGTATTTACATATTTGAACTTTTTGATCCAAATAGAAATTGTATATATGTTCTTGTTATATTTCATCTCTTTAAAACTTGGACACCATTTAAACATTTAGGGATCTTTTGAAGTCTTTTTTTCTTTTGAGATACAGATTCTATCATCCTCCCTCTGTTATCCTCCCCATCTACGTCACTTCGGAGATTTCATAAACCTGTCCTCAGTATTTTTGTTCAAGGTATGGAATTATGAATTAAAGAGGACCGAGATGGAACAACAACGCTCCAGAATGACATTGAATCATTCAACATCATTTTTTCAGTGTAGCTATTCAGTCAGTTTTGCTAACATCTAACGTAAGTTTCTTGACTACTTTTCGCCAAATCCCTTTCTGAAGTCTTGATACAAACGTTACCAAAGAAAGCCACGTCTCTGGATTCACTCGCTCTTGGAGAAACCCTGTAGCATCATGATGATCACTGCTTCCTTTTCCATTCCTTAGTAACCAGTCCGAGATTCTTTGCCAAGACTGCTAATCAGCTCAGTGGGCTATCAACTCAAAATTATGTCCTTCACCTTTAAAACTGGAGACCTCCCTCTGCCTCCCTCTCTAGCTCTTTACAACTCTTTAAATAGCATCGTCAGCAAATTGGAAACGTTCTTAGTGCCTGGGATGTAATTTACCCCAAAGTCTCTGAATGACCTTTTGCAGTCTTTTCATCCACCTTGATCTCTTCCTTCGTGCCTGCTGTCTCCCTTCATCGCAGCTTTGCTCCAGTGAACTCCTCTACCAGGAGCGGCCTCCCTCTCAGCCTCGGCCTATCCAAATCCTGCCCCGACTCAGGCTCTCTTTTGCACCGTGAAACATCCGTGGAGCCTTCCCCACTGGCCTTCATCCTACGTGATCTCTCCTTACTCTGAACTTTGGCCCACCTGTGGTCATTACTATTCACGCCGAGAAAATGTGTCGTGCAGCAAATCCCCGCTGCCACTGTAGTCATGCCTGGTTTAATACGAAGCTTCTGGGTCTGAGGGTCAATGGCACTGAATGACAAGGATTCTGAGCTATTCTTTCCTGGAGATGTACGTGGTTATGGGAGAAGATAATTGAGGAATTTGTCACCTTTTACACGTAAAGAGACTAATACTTACTTTCCTACTACTATTGGGCCATGAGTGTTGATTATTACCTAAAGGTAGTGAGTTATTATTCATGCTGATCTTGCCACGATCTTCCTTGTCATTACTCAAACCGCTGACCGGGGTTGGGGGTGCGGCCTGTGACCATGGAACAGAGTGAAAACCACTGGCTCATGGAGAGGTCAAACCCTGCCTTTGGCCTCATTACCACAGGGCTTCAAGAAAACAAGAAAACAATCCCAACAGTCCAGCTCAACCCACAGGCGAAAGGATACTCCAGTGTGCCTTCAGTTCTTCAATTTTTTTCAGGGATTCTTGAACTTCCTTCCATACTTGCTCATCACCAGTTAGCATATCAGCATCCTGCTCAGGCCAGAAAAGGAAGACAAATAACCCAGTTAGTAACACGCAAAGGACCCGAATAGACCTTTCTCCCAGATATACAAAAGGCCTGCAAGGCCATGAAAAGATGCTTGACATCATTTATCATCAGGGAAATAGAAAGCAAAACCACAGTGAGATACTACTTGATACCCACTACCACGGCTATAGTCAAAAAGACAGGATAACAGCAAAGGCTGGTGAAGACGTGGAGAAATGGATACCCTCACACACTGCTCATGAGAACACAAAATGGTAGCTTTGGAAAACACTCTGGAAGTTCCTCAAAGGGTTCAACGTAGAGTTTTCATTTTACCAATTAGAGTTACCATATTAACAATCCTACTCCTAGGTGTCTATCCAAGAGAAATGAACACATATGTTCAACAAAACTTGTTCACAAATATTCATAGCAGCGTTGTTCATAATAGGCAAAAAATGGAAACAACTCACAGGTCTATCAACTGACATGGTATATGTCCAGACGATGGAACATGATTCCACAATCAAGTACTGACACATGCTACAACATGGATGAACCTTTCCACAATGAAGTACTGACACATGCTACAACATGGATGAACCTTGACTACATTACGCTAAGTGAGAAGCCAATCACAAAGACCACACGTATGACTCCATGGATATGACATGTCCAGAAGAGGCAAATCCACAGAGACAGACAGTCGATCAGTGGTTGCCTAGGGCTAAGAGGACTGGAGGGAACTGGAGAGTCACTGCCAATGGGTAGGGGTTTCTCCAGGGGTGATAAAAATGCTCTAAAATGGACAACATGCTAGCTGCACAACACTGTAAAGAGACTGAAAACCACTGAACTGTACACTTTAACTGGGTGAATTTCATCACACGTGAATTATACCTCAATAAAGCAGATATTTTTAAAAAACAGAAGGGGAATAGGATAAATAGTTATTTGTTAGGAGACCTACAGCTAAAACCTTACTAAGAATAAAATACAACTACACCCATGTGAAGCAATTCTGACTCTTCCACCTAAACACAAAACCCCCAACACTGAAAAAATGCAGAAGAACATAAAATTATGAGCTACCACGTACGAAATGTCTGCCCTCCTATTTAGTAAGCAGGTCTTCTGTTTCTCGTTGGCCAGTGTACCTCTGGCATCTAGCACAGTGCCTGGCACATAGTAGTTGCTTAATCAGCACTTGTTGAATGAATGACTGAAAACCACATGTGCGCACAATGCTGAAGGCTTTACTGATATTGTCTTATCTTCACACAGTTCTTTTGTGTAAGATCATATCCCATGGGGTAACACAGGCAGGGAGTGGGAGAAGTCTACCCTGGTCAGGCAATGACTATTGTCTACAGAATACTGAAAAATAATAATAAAACCAATGAAAAGTACGTCTGATGTTTACTGCGTGCAACAATTCAGAGGTGAAATATTCTTCCCCCCAGGTCAGAGGGTGCCTAACATCTTTCTCCCTAATGTATCACTGATCCTACCCAGCTTATAGATGGCAAAACTGAGACTCAGTTAAGTGATTTTCCTGAAAATCACCAGCTTGGAACCAAAATTTCAACCCAGGTCTGTCTGATTCCAAAAGGCTATCTTCTTGGCAAATGTTACTCTGTTTACCACAGATGCTGCTATGGTCTTTTCAGCATGCTCAGCAAGTCCTGCTTCTTTAAAGTTTCACTAATAGGTAGCCACCAGCCAGGTGTGGCTATTTCAATTTCAATTAATTAAAACAATAAAAAACTCAGTTCCTCAGCTGCAGCAGCCACATTCCAAGAAGCTAACAGCCACATGTGGCTTTGGCTACCACACTGAACAACCGAGATACAGAACAGTTCACTATGTCACTGCAGAAAGTCCTGTGGGACGTGCTGCTTTCAGGTGGCTCGTCAGAGGGTAAGCACTCTCATAAGACACTATTCAAAACCAGGTGTTCAATATCCATAAGACTGTCAACGAGTGTCAGGGACAAGAACCATCCTAGGAGGTTATATGAAAGCAGGGCCAGCGTGGGGGTGACATAAGGGTGAGGAAGGAGGGACTTTTCCATACTCTAGACATCTCCCTGGAGACTCTTACGTGCCCGTTGAAGGAGGCTTATACAACGACCCCATGAGAGCCACTGCCAGAGTCAGTCTGTGTTTCTGGGAAGAAGAAACATCACTCAAGTGCGCGGGGGCAGAAAAAAAGGCGGGAGGGCACTACGAGCCACAGAAAACAGATCCTGAGACTCTCCTTCGCAGGCTGAGGCGGTGGGTGTGTGGATGAGGAGAGGGGAGCACTTCTGTCTGTGTAATTCGGCTTTGCAGGCCTCTGTGTGTATGTGCTGTGCCTATGTGTGATATAGTAGAATGGTTTTTAAAAGGACACCATAGGTGCACTTTTTTTTTTTTTAAAGGAAATTCTAAATACATCCCTAGCTTTCTGTACACAGAGGACGGAGGAGATAAAATGCTCTTAAGACAGTAAACAACAGGCTAGGTGTGGTGGCTCATGCCTGTAATCCCAGCACTTTGGGAGGCTGAGACAGGAGGATCACCTGAGGTCAGGAGTTTGAGACCAGCCTGGCCAACATGACAAAACCTCGTCTCTACTAAAAATACAAAAACTAGCTGGGTCTGGTGGTGCGTGCCTGTAATCCCAGCTACTTGGAAGGCTGAGGCAGGAGAATTGCTCAAACCTGGGAGGCGGAGGTTGCAGTGAGCCGAGACCATGCCACTGCACTCCAGCCTGGACAACAGAGCAAGACTCCGCCTCAAGAAAAAAAAAAAGAAGGTAAAACAACAGTCTCCCTCCGAATGCCTGCTCTAAGTCCATCGTCATCTCCTAAAAATCACCTCAGTCTCCTGTTCCAAAGCCTTCAGCAACTTCCCACGGCCTCCCAGATCAAGCTTACCCATTAGATCTTGGCCGTCGTGGCCATTCCTGAGTGAATATTCCAGTTTTACATTTCACAACTGGCAGCTTAAACCCCAGACCTAAGCTTGCTAGTCTCTATGGTAAGCAGAATAATGGACCCCCAAAGATGTCCACCTCCTGCTCTCCAAAACCTGTGAATATGTTCGGTCACACTGCAAAGGGGAACTGAGTTGTAGACGGGATTAAGGTTGCTCATCAGCTGACCTTAAAATAGCTGAGAGTTCCCTGGACTTGCCCGGTGGGTCCAGTCTAATTACAAGGGTCCTTAGAAGTAGAAGAGGGAGGCAAACGAGGAGGTCGGGGGATGTGCTGTGTAACCAGAGGCCGGCAAAGGCAAGGAACCCAGTCCCCTGGAGCTTCCAGAAAGGACAACAGCCTTGCCCACACCTTGATTTTGGCCCACTGAGACTTGGGTCAGGCTTCCGGCCTACAGAACTCTAAAATAATCAATCGGAGCTGTTTTAAGATGCTGTATTTATGATCCATTGTTGCAGCAGCTATAGAAAATGTGGTCCCTGGCCGGGCGCGGTGGCTCAAACCTGTAATCCCAGCACTTTGGGAGGCCGAGACGGGCGGATCACGAGGTCAGGAGATCGAGACCATCCTGGCTGACACGGTGAAACCCCGTCTCTACTAAAAAATACAAAAAACTAGCCGGGGGAGGTGGGGGGCACCTGTAGTCCCAGCTACTCGGGAGGCTGAGGCAGGAGAATGGCGTGAACCCGGGAGGCGGAGCTTGCAGTGAGCTGAGATCCGGCCACTGCACTCCAGCCTGGGTGACAGAGCAAGACTGTGTCTCAAAAAAAGAAAAAAGAAAAAAAGAAAATGTGGTGCCTAACATACCTTCCGCTCTTCTGGCCACTGGGGCTGTTTGTGCCTGGCCCTCTCTGTACCTGAAATTAGTCAGTCAGATCACTCATTTATTCCATTAACACTTACTGAGTACCTAACCAGGCACTGTTCTAGGCAGTAGGGATAGAGCAGTACATAAATCAGATAATCATCATGTTCATACTGAAGAGGCAGGTGGAACACACAGTAAGAGGAGATACATACATGCACGCACACACACGCACACACACACATTTTGTTGGGGGAAAAACAGGGAAGAGGCATGGGGAATATTGGCACCAGGGAGTTCATTTTAAACAGCATGATTGGGGCAGGTCTCACTAAGATAGTATTTGAGTAAAGCTCTAAAGGAGGTGGAGGTGTAGGAGACAGGAGTTCCACGGAGCGGGGAGGGCAAGTGCAGAGGCAGAAACATGCCCGAATATTCCAGGAACAATAGAGGCCAGTGTGGCCAGAGCTTGTGGACTGCAGTGTGTGTGCATGTCCTGCCTTCTCCACTTAATTGTCAACTCTTCAGAGCTGAATATAGGTCTTCTTCTTCTTTGATCCGGCGTCTCCCAAATATCCAGCACGTAACAAACGCTCTGCTGAATGTCTCTAGAATGGATCTGGAAGAAGTGAACTAACTTGGTAATGATTTGATGTCTCTTGTGTTTATTTCAGTTATTCCTCACTACATCTTTGAAAGGCATCAATACCTGTAATTTACAAATGAGGTGCAAGATAGTCCTGAAGGTTACATAATTGGTCCAAATGTCCTTCTACCCCTGATTACCAGAGGTAGGATTCAAACCCAGGTCTGGCTGGCTCCAGTGCCCATTCTCTTTCTACTACCTTCATGCTTAAATTTTGTTTGTTTCTCTCCTGGACTTGCTTAAAAGGTGAAACTCATGTCTGAGTTAATACATTCAAAGTATCTTCACCCATGTTTCCTAAGCTCTTCCTAGTACTAGCACTTTAAAGAGGAGAGTAAAATCCTCCAACATAGAACCCACAGCAGATCTCATATTCTTCTACCAAGCAGGGTGAGACGGCAGCCCAGGGCAGAACAATTTCATATGGGAATTATAGTCACAACTACATTTGCCACCAGTGAACATAATCTGATTAGCTGTTCTTTCAGGTTGACCCTAAGCCTTTATTTGCTTAACAGAAGAGCAAGCAGGCTTTGAAACTGCTCCTAAACATTTAGAAACGATACCTCTGA